GGAAAGAGACCCTTGACCGCAGGGCCGGGCACCTCACCCACGCTGGCTGCTCATAGCTCCCTGACTCCCTGGAAACAGGGGTTGCTCCATAGATGAGTACATGGACCAAGCGGGACCAACCAGGGCTCTTCCTGGGATACAGGGACACTGGGTCTACGAAGGTAGAACAGCCTGTGGCCATGTTCCTTGTTATTTCGAGAGACCCTACTGTAGTAAGAGTGAAGCCAACATGTAATAGAAGAGAACAAATCTGACTCCATATTTGATCTCTTCCTTTGGCTTCAACCCTGTGTTCTGTTTCCTGGGCTTAGCTGTGCTGGTTCTGCCCCGTTCGTAAAAGAATGTTGCCTGTAGCTTGAAATATACAGGATAGCCTATTCTCAAGGCTCTGACCTTTAAGGGTATTAATATTTTTCCCATTCACATAAAGATAAAAAGTTGCAGAATAGAAAATAACATTGTTTTGTTGGAGGTTTACAGGGACACGATGACCTGACCCACATGGACAGTTGCAAGAACAAAGGATTCGGACACCAAGAAGTTTGCAATGACCACATCCCCTCCCCTTTATAGCATAAAAGGGGCCTGAATTCTGACTTGGGGAAGATGGTTCTCCAGGACATTAGCCTTCCATCTTCTCGGTCTGCCAGCTTTCCAAATAAAGTCATTATTCCTTGCCTGATTTATTGACCTGTTGTGCGGCAAGTAGAACGAGTTTGGACTCAGTAACAAACGTATAAAGAGAGAAACAGCGATGAGAGAAGGTTGGATGGGTGGATGCATGGTGTTGAGTGTCCTGTTCTAGCCCCCAAGGCTGTGGTTCATTGATCCTGTGAATTATTGCAGTGACCTTAACAGTTATGTAACATAATACAGCCCCCTCCCACTGTTTTTTTTTTTTTTTCGCTTCAGTGAGCTTGCCTGGAACTTCTGTCTCTTAGAGCTGAACGGTCTTGATCCCTAGAGCCAGAATGTGGTGGAGTCAAGATTTAAACTCAGAATCCAACATCTTACCTTCTCTGCTATAACCATTTCCTAGTATTACACCCTAATCTCTTAAAACACTTCTCTTTAAACCACTTCCTCATGAGCAATATTCTATGCTTTTCAACATCACTGCTTACCTTCCTGAGTCACCTTTTTTTTACCCCCCCTGAAGCTGCCTTTAGTTCTTTTCTGAGATTTGGGAAGTTCCCTGGGTTTATCAGAATGCATCAGAACACATCTCTCAACTTGGGTATTTCTGAGAAGGTTGTTAACCACTCTGCTTTCTGCTGATTCCAGTTATCACCCCTTTCTCCAGCTGACTTTTTCTATGCTTGGCATCCATTCTGGCAAATGGTGGAACCCTGCTTCAGACCCAGGGCTGCCTGACGCCCAGGCCTGTGTGCTTTGCAGGCATCAGATCTCAGGAACTACAGGGCTCTGTACTGACTCCGTGAGGAGTTGTGGGTGGAGGAGGCCTGTCTCCCCCAGGGAGTATCTGTGTTCCTGCGAGCCTGCTGTCATCAGGACGGGGACGACAGTGGGGGTGGCTGGAGGCTAGGGACACAAGGAATGGTTTGTTCCTGACCAGATCCCCTAGTACGGGCACAAAGTCAGTCTGCACCTCTCCAGCAAAGGGGATGACAAATGCAATACACATGGCAGATTCAGAATAACCCAAACAGTGCGATAACGCAGGGGATAGTTAGATAAATTATTTAATGCAGTTTGTTAAGAGCAAATACTCAAAGCATATTTTGAGGATCAGAAAAATAATAAAATGGCTCTTCGCAGTGAAAAATTTAAGGTCAAAGGTTGGTGCAGCTCCCCTAAGATTGCACAGTCAGCCAGGGGAAAGACAGGGCTTAAACCTGGGGCCCCAACAGTGAGGCCATTTCTCTTTCTGCTGAACTGCCCCGGGGATAGTGGGTAGGTTGGCAGAGCTTGGCAGTGCTCAGCACCTCACTTCTGCTACCTAGTTCCCTCCTGCCCTCTCCCAATGGCTGTTAAACATTTTACAGGCATCTGTCTTTCGTCTCAGCAGCCCACCTGGGTTTCCCAGCAGGAACTGTCCAGGAAATACCTTATACATCAGGCGGGTGTGAGAGGTGTGGGTGTGGGAAGGCTCGCTGGAGATGAATCAGCAGTGCCTCCTTCCTGAGTCAGGAGCAGGGCAGGGCAAGGGCTGGCCGGATGCGGACTGGAGGGAGGGAAAGAGGGAGAGCAGGGAGAGACCAGCCTGCAATGACGCATCTTAACCACCAGGGGGCAGAACAAGACGGGAAAAATCCAGAAGCCGCTGGTGGGAAACGTCTGGCGCCTGGAACCAGGGGCGAGGGGGATGGACGGAAAGCAGAGACCTAGCTTCTCAGGCTGGGTATGGACAGAGTCATGGCCAGGTGTGCCCGCTGCCTGTCTGTGCCCTGGCTTCTCTGCCGTCATGGAGAGGTGGAGAATGGAGAGTGGGATTGGACTCTCCGGGTCAGTCTGTCCAACCTTCCCGTTCTGCCAAGGAGATGAGAATTGCTCAAGATCCATCACACAGCAAGTTAGTGGCAAATTACTGTGATTTTCATCAGTCTCAGGAATAGCGCCACTTAATGGACACTATCTTGGCCTCAGTTCTCATTTAGGGACAGGTGTCCAGGTGCTGCCCCTGAGCAATCAGGAGCTCTCTCCCTCTCTCTCTTCCATCTTAGTCCCTTTTACCTCACAGTCCCTTTGTTTCCGTGACTCTATTTTTCTCTGACCTTTTCTCCCAGTTTCCATCTGACTGCCCCTGTGTCTCTTCCTCTGCCTCCTGTCTCCATCCCTGCCCTTTGGGGAGTTTGCTCAGCTCCTCGCTAGGTCCCCAGAGTGAGATGTTTCCTGCAGTCACTCCTCAGGGATTCATAGCTCTCTCAAGCTCTGTTTTCCAACCCAGTGTCTTAGTTTCACTCATGGGATCCAGAGGAGAAGTGACGATTTGGTAGCATAATCAATGGTGTGATGTGGGGAGGTGAGAAGGCCCCCCAGCTCCTAAATACTACCCCCAGCAACCCCCCCCCCCCGCAATTTGGTAACCATAAACTGGTTGGCACCTGGTGTGGGCAATCCCGCCCAGTGAGCTCACCATGTGGGCGAGAGAAGACAGTACATGAGTGATTCAATCGAGAGCAGAATGCTTTGAGCACACAGGACAAAAGGAGTGCCTGGTAGGGGTCAGAGCAGGTACAGACAGAATCTGGTTGGGCCCAGGGAAAGCCCTGTGAAGCAGGGGACGTTTTACTGGCCTGTGAAAGCAGGGTGGGATTTCAGCAGGAAGGGATGTGATGAGTGGGCGCATTCTGAGAAGAGGGGTGGGCATAAGCCAAGAGTCGTGGCCACACCAGGGGCACGTGCCCCCAAGGGCTTAGGCGCAACGAGCAAGGCAGTTAGTGTATACGCAGGGGAGGCTGGAGTGCAGGTGGGGGCCAGGGCCCAAGCACCTCACTGCTGGGAGGAGCTGCGGGGACGCCACTGCGGCTTCTGAGCAGAAGTGGCATCTGCCGAAGTCCTCAGTTAACATGGAAGGAGTCCTCTAAAAAGCAATGCCTTGCATCCCTTTGGTCCTTACCCTCAGGGTGAACAATTTTGATTCCAAGCTCTACCTGAAATAGGTTTTGAAGGGGAGGAACAGTAGCCTGATAGGTCAAAGTGCCTTGGGGAGGAGGGGACACTGGGCGGCTTTGCAAAGATGTAGGAGAGGATGCTGGGGGCCCCCAAAGTGTGACTTCATTTGTGCTCTCAGGCTGCCCCTGAATCCCAGGGCGGCCCCAGGAAGAGAGCAGCCTGGCGCCACAGCTGATCCTCTGTTGGTTCTCAGTCTGAGCTTCTCTGTGGTGTCCCAATCCAAAGGTCCCGGGCCTGGGAAGGGTCTGTGTGCCAGCGCTCTCGCCTCCCAAGCTGGGCTGGGGTTTCCGCCTGCTGCCCCAGGACTGAGGCTGCCCTGGCCCTGGGGGAGGAGGGCGGTGCTGGTGAGTCACTGCCTGGGCATCTGGGCCTGGAACCATGGGTGAGTCACCTAGGACTAGGGGTGCTGGGGGAGGGGAAGGAGGCTGGTGGACATCTGGAGTGGGGAGGGGAGCTGGGCCCACAGGAAGGGTGGAGCCCAGACTGGCCCGGGGCAGTAGGCGAGGGGACCTGGGAAGGGGTGGCAAGAAGCCTGCTCTCCCCTGAAAACCCCTCCCCTGGGCTGGGTCCTGAAAGGCCTCAGTGTTTGCCTGTCTCTCCCTATGGGGAGGGGCCTTTAGGAGTGGGCTGAGGGAGGCGTCACCCCAGGCCTGGCCCCCTGGCTTTGGGAAGTGGTCAGCCCCCCCCCCCACTCACTCACCCCTCAAGCTGGAGAAGAGGAGACCAGAGTTTTCTTCCTTCAGACCTCCTGGGGCTTCCTTCCACACCACACAGACTGCTGCTCACCCCAGCTGATGGTAAACAGCCATCTCAGCTCTCACTGCCTCCCTGTCCCCTTCCAGACCCCTTCCAACACAAAGGGGGTCTTTTGCAGGTACTTTTAGGCACATCAACTTTCCTCATTACATCATTAAAAGGTATTGTGGTGCCAGCTATTAAACGTAGCTGTGTTTCCCTCATTCCCTGAGGTCACCCCGCCCTCTCTTTCCTGATGCCCCCCAAATGCTGCTAGCCCCCAGCGCGAACACAGGTACACACACACACACACACCTGTGAAGTCCCAGTGTGCACCTGCAGCCTCTGATACACCAGTGAGCCATGACTCATAGGCATGTGTCATGAGAACAAGGCCTGGTCTGAGTCTCTAGGCCCCAGGAACAGGGGCTGCCTCCCCACGCCATGGGCCCAGGATCCCCCTTCCCCTCGACACCTCCAGCTTCTCGCTCCTCACCGTGGCCTGGGTGGGCCTAGGGGCTGCCCTTGGCCAGCCTAGAGCTGTCCCCAGCTGGCGGTGGGGCTGGCGGTCTCTGGGAAGGAGGGGGCTGGGAGGGAGTAGGTGGGGGTGGCAGGAGGCCAGGCTTTGGCGAGATCAGGTTAGGGCAGGTTTGGTTTCCTTGAATTCTGTGTTGGGGGCCTGTGGGGCTGGCATATAAATCCTCACTTTGGGCACCTGGCCCTTGCTTTCCATCCTGAGTCTCTCTCTACCATCAGGTCTGGTGAGTAACTCTGTCCTGCTGAGGGCTGGGTGGGGAGGACCCCTGTGGGTCTCTGCCTTTGTGCCTTTGTCTTGATCTTTGTCTCATCCTGATTGCGTTGCTGGAAGAGTCCTGGGGCCTCTGTGAGTCCCTGCACCTGAGGGGAACCTCCTGTGAAGTGTCAGACTGAGACTTTTCAGGCTCCTCGGTGAGGTTTCAGTTTAGGGATTACTCTGAGGCCCCCTCTTGGGGCTCCCAGTCTGGGTGTTAGTCTAGAGGCCCTTCTTGGGGGTCTAGGCCTAGGAGTATGATATGTGTGTGTGTGTGTGTGTGTGTGTGTGTGTGTGTGTGTGTTGGAGTGCTTTAACAAGAATCCTGGGTTTGTTTTGTTTTTGTTTTTGTTTTTGCAAAATCCTGGATTCCAGCAGGACTCAGGAACAAGAGCCAGGGCTCTCAAGTGCGTGGGCCCTCCTGGGTCCCTGCCCTGAGTAGCGGCCTAGCTCTGCCCACTGCCGCTTCCTGTCCTCTCCCACCTCCTGAAGGCAGGGCTGGCAGGATGGGCCCCTGGGTTCTCCCCGCCTCTGGCACCAGCTCCTTTGGCCTCCCCCTGGACCCGCCTAACCCTTCTGGGCTGGTCTGAGCATTCTCGAAGCAGGACCTTGGAAAAGATGACCTCCGAGTTCTGCTCTTATGTCCCAGATTCTCCCCTGATCCTGAGGCCCCGGGCTTTTAATTTCTTTCATTCCAGCCCCAGTAAGATCCTTCCTGGGGAGAAGGGTGTTCAGCTGCCTCCATTCTACCCATGCCCCGTCTGCATAGAGCCAGCACCACTGCTCAGGGGCCTCCAGTATGAGGGGAGACACATTCCCTGCCCTATGAGAGCCCCGAATCCCAGGGAGGACATGTGCCTGCCCCGGGGAGCTTCCAGTTAGATGAGAGAGCGACACCCTCTGGCTGAGGAGGGAAGTGACCCCTCAGGGACCCTCCTACCCCTGAGGGGAGCCAGCAGCCCCACTGAGTAGCCCATGGAGGTGTCTGTCTCCCCAGCGCTGGCACAAAGCCCACTGGCCTGTGGAAGGAGCTGCAGAGAGATGATCCCAAATGGGACGCTGGCCGACCTGCCGTTTCCCTTCCACAGACACTCAAAGGGGGAGCCCTGCCCTAGGGGGTGGGCCCCAAGTGGGATCAGAGGAGCCCTGAGGCCCTTCCGAACACAGCCAGCAGAAGGGCGAGCATCTGCCCTCAGTGGGAGGTGGAGGCAGCCCAGGGAGCCACGGGCTGATGGGGGAGACGCAGCCCTGCCTTCCCATTCAGAGAGAGGCTTGGGGAGGCGGTTTCGGGGCTCATGGGCAGAAGTGGGTCTCCATCACCTGCCACCTCTGCAGCCCCAGATCCAAGATGTCCAGTCCTCTGGAGCAGGCACTGGCTGTGATGGTCGCCACCTTCCACAAGTACTCTGGCCAAGAGGGAGACAAGTTCAAGCTGAGCAAGGGGGAGATGAAGGAACTTCTGCACAAGGAGCTGCCCAGCTTTGTGGGGGTGAGTGGGGCTGGCCTGGGGCAGGAGGGTCCTGGTGTGTGTGTCGAGGGGGCATGGGATGAATCTCCTCTCCTTTCCTCTGGGGCGCCTGCTGACGTAGACAGCAGGGTGGGGCCGGGCCCTTCACGGCCTCAGAGCACGGAGGCACTCTCAGCGCCCAGAGAGGGGAAGTGACTGGCTCATGATCGCACAGCGTGTGTGTGTGTGTGTGTGTGTGTGTGTGTGTGTGTGTGTGTCGTCCGTCTCTCTCTCTCTCTCTCTCTCTCTT